CGCCCCACCCCGCGCGCGGCCCCGGGGGCAGGAAACGACCGGAGCGAGTCACGCGAGACAGAACTTCGGGAGTGCGAGCTCGAGGCCGGCCCGCTGCCCGCCGGTGTCAGCTGCCGGCCTCGGCCCGCTGCCGTCCGCCCGGCGGAGGTGCCTGTGAGGGCGGGGATCCCCGCTTGAAGACATGTTTGGCATCTCACTCAGGGTGGGTTTCGTGGGAGCGGCGCCGGCGCGGGGGATCCCCGGGGCGGGGAGCGGGGAGCGCAAACGTCCGCCGGCGACCCCGCCCCCCCCAGAGCCGGAAGGGGGCGGGGCGTTGGCCGGCGTTGGCCAAGGGCGGGGCCTCGAGGGGAGGGGCGTGGTCTGGGTTGTGAGGGGCGTGGCCTGATGGTGAAGACCTGGGTGGGTGGGACTGGCGGGACGGGGCGTTCCTAGGCGGTGGGGAGCAGGCGTGGACCTCCTGGACGGGGAGAAGAGGGCCGTGGACCTTTCCTGAATCAACTCGGGCCGGCCAGCCTGCCGCCCGCCGAGGGGTCGGGAGCCCCGCCGGCCTGGCCAGGTGCAGTGGTGGAATTGAGGGCGGTGGCAGGGAGGATGGTCCAGCCTCTGGCAGGTGAGTGCCCAGGCAGCCTGGACCTGGAACTGCTCCACCCCTACACCGCCCTGGCTGGACGGGAAGTTGGGAGTGAGGGGACTGGAGAGGTGAGCCCTGTCCCCCTCACCCCCTCTTCTGCTCTCAGCCACTGTCCCCTGGGGAAGCTACCCCAGCCATCTCCCTCTCTAGTTGTGATCTGGAGCCAGGGCATGGTGTGTGGGGGGGGGGGGGAGGAGGAGGGCGGGAATCTTCATTACAGATTACTGGTTAGTAGTGATATCATCGCTCCTCCCCCTGGGGGGGTGGACCCCGGGACTTTCAGCATCTGCACCCTTGGCAGTTGCCAGGAAGAAGGCAGATGGGTAGTCGGTGGGCATCTAGGAAACTTCAGCACTCTGGATGGACCTTAGCAGACTGCCCTGGTAGTGGGGGGGGCACCCCCTTACCTTCTGGTCCACAAAGGCTTGGGCTTCCCGTGTGAATACCTTTCCCTCTGCCAGTTGCTTTGAATCCCTGGCTGACTTTTCTCCTAGCATTGGCAGGGGGAGGAGGTGCTGGGCCTGAGAGGTCCCTGCCCTGTCCAGGGCAGACAGGAGCTGAGGGGCTGTGCTCACATTGTCTACTAGGACCCGACCCTGCTGTTGGCCGTCACTGTCATCGGGGTCACAGCGCTTCTTTTGGCACTAAAGAACAAGAACTGCAGGAGGAAAGGTCCTGTCACCTTACAGGACTGTGATACCAAGTACTCACTACCCTTGATTGAGAAGGAGGTAGTGGCTCAGCCCAACCCCTCTCCTTGTTAGGTGGAAGGGACTAAAGAAGTGGGATGCTGGCGGGGAAGGTGGGGTGGGGAGACAGTGGTGGCTCCCTTCCGAGGCCTCTCAGCTGTCCAGCAAGCCTCCTAGGAAGCTAATGAAGGCTGCCTCTGCTTTTGTTTTGCTAGCAAATCAGTCACAACACCCGGAGGTTCCGCTTTGGCCTGCCATCGCCCTACCATATCTTAGGGCTTCCTGTTGGTGAGTAGGCTTTCATGTCCTCTCCAGGGTTGGGACTTTGGGGGCTAGATACTACTCCTATCAGAAACACAGGTTTTTCAGGCTCCTGGGATGTAGGGGTTGCTTTGATTACTCTTCCTGAACCATCTGGAAAATAGGGAGATGGCCTTGGGAAAAGAGCATCGAATAGGAGCCGAGTCAACATTTCAAGGTCTCATCTCATTAAGGCTCCTTGCTAGGCAAACGTTGGTGAGTTCCTCAACCTTTCAGATCTTGAGTCGATGAAGTGAAAATCCTCAGGCCTGTCTACTTCCTTTAGTTGGGTCATTGTGAGGATAAATGTTGGATAGATGTACAGATTCACAGTCTGCTCAAGTGTGCCCATTGCAGGGATAGGAAGAAGGAGTGTTTCTCTACAATGAAGAGAAAAGCCCAGAAGGTAACTTGAGGTAGGAAGGAGACAAGTACCATATGGGCCTCAGACCCATGCAAGGAGGAGCCCCATTGTGGACATACTCTAGTCACCCTAGAGTTCCAGGTTAATCCATTTCCAGTCAGTAACACCTCTAGGCAGATGAGTGAGCTTCTGGGGTGGAAAGCCTAGGGAACCAGAGCCACTTTGCTTTTTTTTTTCCTACCTCCTAATGGCCCACTTGTCTTATACACACGGATGAAACTTTGTTCTAAACTGTCAGGAGCCCCGCTGGGCTCCTGAGCCTCCTTGCTGCTATGCAGTTCCATCCTTATGCAGGGGAGCATTGTGTCCTGCTGCTTTCTAGCTCTCTGCCTGGCCTGTCACCGGTCCTGTGGGCAGGAAGTGCACAAGAACAGAATAAAGGAATTTCCTAGAAACTCCCTTGACCATCTGTTTTCAGCCTGTTGGATTCGGCACAGTTAGTGGATGAATGTGACTTCTGAGAGTCTGATATGGAGATTCCGAGCTTGCTGATTCTCCCTAGCTCAACACGCTTTTGAGATATGAGGCTGGAGGACTTTGGACAGATTTTTTTTCTTTTTTTTTGTGGGGTGGGGATGCTGCCAGACCAGGCTCAGGTTGGCTGTGTCTCAAGGAGCCCTTTCAGATTCCCAGTTCAGGCGATCTCTCAGCAGAAAGCTGATGCTTCAGGCCTGTATTCCTGAGTGCCTCCTGTGTCCAGCCAGACCATGGCCACTGAGATAGTATGTGTGACCCTCAGGCCTCTCCAAATCTAAGAGCCAGCCCTTCAGGCTGGGTACTGGTGGCTTATACCTGCAATCCTACCCTACTCAGGACACAAAGATCTGGAGAATCCCAGATTTTGCATGGAAGCATGGTTCAAGTGGTAGAGCATCAGTGGAACAAATGAACTGAGAAATTACAAGGCCCTGAGTTCAAACAAGCTGAGCAAGTACAAGGTCAAGAGTTCAAAACCCTAGTACTAGAAAAAAAAATCCTTCATGTACCTCACCAGCTTCTTTTTCCCCCTGCACTCTGTTTCTCCTAAACATTTCCAGTTCAATTTCCATAGACTATGACTTAATGTGCTTGGCATACTAAGTTGCTACTCCCTCAAAACCTGGTGTAGAGGTTTCTCTTGACTTTGTCTCTTAGCCTCTCCCCTTTGGCAGAGGCAGGGATTGAACTCAGGGTATCAGGCAGGCACTGTCCCATTTGATTTCTATCTCTAGCCCCTGTTGAGGTTGGTTATCCCTCTTGAGGTTGTTTATTTTTGAGGTAGAGTCTCAGCATATGCCCAGGCCAGACTGTGCTTCCTCGTGTTGCTGGTGACAACAGGCCTGTACCACCCTGCCTAGCCATTGTTTAAGATAGAATCCCATGAACTTTTAGGCTTAGGCTGGCTTTGTATCTTGATTGCCCATCTCTTCCTTCTAATTTAGAAGTTACAATTATAGTCTTGAGCCATCACACATGGCTTCTTAACAGCAAGTAGGAATCCCTTCCCTCCTCACTATCTACCTTAGTTTCTGAAGTTTCCATCATGGAGCCAACAGGAGTCATGAGTGGCCCGGTTCCTTATTCGATAGATCTGTGCTTCTCTGGCCCAGCAGGTCTATTAAATTACACTCCAGAGGGGCATAAGACATGGTTCTGTCATTGACCACTAGTTGGGTGTTCTGGTGTATGTCTGTTATCCCAGAAGGTATGGGAGGTAGAGGATGGAGGATCAAGAGGTTGAGGCCGGCTAGAACAAAGTTAGTGTGACTCTATCTGAAAACCAAAAAAGGCTGGGCTATGGCTTAAGTGGTAGAGCTCTTGCCACTCTGAGTTCAGTCTCTAGTACTCAAAAATTAAAAATTAAAAAACCTATCTCATTGCTGGCTTTCAGCAGAGCCATGGGTTAGGAAGAGACAATGTGATTGCTTTATTTGGACCAGGGGTGTTCAGGTCTTGAATCCTTGAAATATTTGTGAGCTCAAGCCTTCATTATATTAACACCCAGGATACAGGTAGGGATGCTATGGTTTGTTCATAGACCTCAATGATGCATCCAGTCTAGGAAGAAATGGTGAAAGCCTTCCTTGTTTTTAATACTCTCAATCTTCAATGAGCTTTTCTTACTGTATAATTACTTGGTATGATCACAACTTGGCAAGCATATCGTTTTTTTTTTTTATAAATCCTCCTCCTTTTATGATGCTAGGGATTGAACCCAAAACCTTGCACCTGCTAAGCAAGTGCTTTGCCACTTGAGCTCTGCCCCAGCTCCACTACCCATTTTGTAGGTGAAGAGACATGCCCAGAGAGCTAAGGTGCCCTTCAAGGATAGTCTGCAGATGATCGGGGACAGGGCTAACATCCACATCTAGATTTGGGTTTCCTCTCTTCCTCTGCCCCCGTGTGACATTCTACCATGCTGTATTCACAGTCAGTCTTTTAAATTTCAATCCTTTTGTGAATTCCTACAGGGCTCTAAGTAGGCTGGTCATTCTCAGAATTAACAGTTGATACCTTTTTTTTGTAGGTAACTATGTCCATCTCTTGGCCAAAATCGGTGATGATATGGTGGTCAGGGCTTACACTCCTGTCTCCAGCGATGATGACCAGGGCTTTGTGGACTTAATTATAAAGGTAAAGTCTCCTATGCCCCGTGGCCTGGTGCTCCCTAGTTTGTTGAGTGTGATGGAGTAGACAACAGTGCTTTTTCTATGGTGGGACCCAGGCCCTGGATTAACTGGGCAAAGCTCCAGTTAATCTTGCCTGCAGCAAGTATGAGTGCAGACAATTTTCTCTTCATGGCTTCCCACTGCAAATTCATTTTCTAGTTGTATGTGTTGCTTAGTCTGTCAGTCTGGGAGTGTGAACACCATACTGCCCTGTGTTTCAGGTCTACTTCAAAAACGCACACCCACAGCATCCTGAAGGGGGGAAGATGACTCAGTACTTGGAGAACATGAAAATTGGGGACACCATCCTTTTTCGGGGGCCAACTGGGTCCTTGTTCTACCGTGGGCCAGGTACTTGGGGTTTCACACTGGGCCACTAGCTGAAGAAAGAAGATTCCTGCAGTGGTTTCATTGTTCTAGAACATTCCTAATCCCCAAGTCACAAGTTTGTCTTCTAACCCTTCATACATTCATTCACACAAAGTCATTTCTAACCACTTCTATCATTCATTCAAACCCACTCCACAAGATCATAAGCTGAATTCAGTGTGTCCTCATCACTAACTCCAGCACAGACCCAATAAAATGATGCCTGCTAGCCAGGTGGCTCATGCCTGTAATCCTAGCTACTCACGCAGGAGGCTGAGATCTGAGGATCATGATTCCAAGCTAGCCCAGGCAGGAAAGTCCATGAGACTGTTACTTCTAATTAATCATCAAGAAGCCAGAAATGGAGTCGTGACTCAAGCTAGCCTTGAGCATAAAAGCTTAGGAGCAATGGCCAGGCATTGAATTCAAGCACTGGGACTGGCACACCCACACAAAAAGGTTCCTGCTGATATGGATGGAGGATGGTGGAGGGCTTCTACACCATTTCATTCACTAAGGGTCCCTCATTTACTCATTGGTCACTGCTGTGGCAAGAGTACTCAGACAGGCTCCATATTAACTTGAGCATGCCTCTCTCTCTCCTCAGAAGAGAAGGCCCAGTCATTCTCTGAGGAAGCTTAGGCTGTGTTTCTACATGGTGCCCTAGAGTTCCAGGGCTGGCCACAGAAGCCACTGGGACTGACAGTTTAGCCTCGGGTGAACCCACATCCTAGGAGTCCCATGGAAAGTTAGCAGTGGTTGGCAGATTTCCAGACTCGAGCTGAAGAAGTTACAAGTGTCCTTAATGTGTCTAGGGAGCATTGGCATCAGACCATATCCATCGTGCAAGCCTGAAAAGAAAACGTTCCGTCACCTGGGGATGATTGCTGGGGGCTCAGGTAAGGGGTTTCTGGGGGCTTATCCTAGAAGGTGAGCTCTAAGACCCTTCTGACTTTGACGTTACTTAATCCCAGAAAGAAAGGAAAGATCCCTCTCCAGTTACGGGGATGAATGGTAATGCGACCTGAAGGCCAGGGACAGATACTGAGCCTGCCCCCACTTCCCTCCTCCCTGCCACCCCCCCCTCCCCGGGACCTGCTTCCCTCACCAAGTACAGTGGCTACCTGGGGGCTATGGGGAGCTTTTCTAGTATGGGGCCAGGATGGGCAGGCTCCCCTGTGGTGTCCCCCCAAGTCTGACCACAAACTTGTAGGGAGAGATAGAGTGCCCAGCACTTGTGAAATCATCCCGTCTACTTGCTAGGAATGCTGTTTCACCAAGGAGGACACTGGAGAGCTCAGAATATTCTTTCCATATGAAAAGGAAAAAAGAGCTTTTGACTTACTATAGCATGGAAAGGAACCTGAAAATGGAGGACTATTTTCTACTTTTGAGGTTTAGGGACAGAAGGGAATAGAAACTTAAAAACAGGGCCAAAGAAAACTGCTGAGCCACCACCGGCTAGAGGCTCTAGCACAAGAGGCAGGAGAAAGCTGGCCTGCCCCTAACTGTGTTCCAGGCATTACACCCATGCTGCAGCTCATTCGCCACATCACCAAGAACCCCCATGACAAGACCAAGATATCCCTCCTCTTTGCCAACCAGGTTAGTTCTTCCAAGCCAGCCCAGGCCCAGAGGGGGCAGGATGGACGGTTTGCTGAGCTGGGCTCTGCTTACATTCCTCCCTCACTGACCCAGCTTGGGAACCTGCAGCTGTGAAAGAGCTTAATGAGCTCCACCTGCCCCTTGGCAGCTGACAAAGCTGAGGGCAGGCCTGTTTCCCTAAGTGCCTGAAATCGGTTTTCCTAGCCAGACCCAAGCGGCATGTTGACCTTGCTTCCTTAAGCTATATTTTGTTTTTTGTTTTTTTTTTTTGGTTTTCTTGCTGAGTACAAAACTCAAGGATGATTCCATGAAAATTTGGGGAGATACAGAATACAAACATTTTTTACTTACCTTTTTGTCTTCTTTTCTATACATGCTGCATAGTTTTCAAACATGTACATGTAAGAATATAGTTTTCACTAAGCCTGACTGTGCAGCCATTTTCTTCTCACTAATTCTATGTTTTCCTCCACAGTCAGTGTCAGATCCTACTATATTTTACTACCCCATCTACTACACCATCTTTTCAGATTTCAGTTATGAATGATAAAGTATAGAATGGCAAACTGGTGTCTAGGGTTGATTGCTTTTAGATTATTTTCTGAAGCAACCCTAGAAGCAACACTTCCTAAGATAACAGTCATAAAGAGTTGGATCACCCAGGTCTTCTGGACTTTCTTGGCGTCTGTGACAAGTGACCCTAGCTCTTTTTTTTTTTTTTCCCAGCCTAGCTCTTTTTTTTTTTTCCCCCAGCAGAGGCAACAGACTGTCTCTTTTTCCTGTTTAGGTCACAGGCACAGCCCTGCCGTCTAGCCTTCAGTCCTTCCTTCCTTGCAGAAGGTTCTTCCTTACACTGAATTTAGTTGGGCCTCCTGGCCTGATGTTTGATATGAATGCAAGAAGTAGAGCAAGGACTGATGTGAGCCACCCAGACCGTGTGGCCCTCGTCCTACCATAGATAGAGGAGTCGTGCACTCCTCCCATTAGAAAGGAGGTTTGGCCTACAGGAGAAGCAGCAGAATCTTTGTTTCTCTGGAGTCCTTAAGCTAGGGTGGTAGCTGGGGTAGGAGGGGTGCAGTCTGGGGGACACCGAGGTCGCCCTGGAGTGGCCTTTGCAACGTTGCTTCTTTTCTAGACAGAGGATGATATCTTGATGAGAAAGGAGCTTGATGAAATTGCCAGGACTCATCTAGACCAGTTCAGCGTGTGGTATACCCTGGACAGGCCTCCTGTTGGTATGGTCCCTCTTGCTCTTGCTCAGTGTGGGTCAGGGCCAACCCTTGACTCACACTCCACCCCACCCCCACCACCAAGAACCAGTGGCTGTTTTATTTTTGTTTCTTTTTCTTTCTCTTGAGGCTTGTGCTTGAGGGGTAGACCTAGGGCTCTGGGTCCCTATAACAAATGCAAGAATTTACATGGGAGAAGATTGAAATAACCGGTAGGCAGGTGTCCCATGTCCCTATCTGCATGAAATGTCTGGCTGCCCTTCAACCTGAACCCCTATGCTCCTGTCTTCCTATACCCTTGTCATCTGCACAGTGGTGCTCGCATGCTAAGCCCTCACCAGCAGCTGTGGCTTCCCTCAACACCCAGCAAACACCAGGCACACAGCACCTTACACAGAGCCCATCTCCCTCACTGTGCAGAGCGGTTTGTCTCAGCATATGACTTATTGTCCAGCAGAGGGCGCTGCCCAACAAGCAAACACTACCACACCCTGTCTCTCCCTCCCCCTTTCCCCACACCTGCACACCAGTGCACACTAGCCCAATGAGCTCCCTTCACCTGTTTTCCAGCTCAATCAGGCAGGGATTTCTCAGTCCCAACTGTGAATCTGGAAGCTGGGGTAAATACTGCAGAGGACCCACATAACGCTCTTCTAGGGCTTTCTGCAGAGAGCAGCAGTGCAGAGACTTTTCATACTCTGTAGTCTCATCCCCAATCTTGTCCCTGGCCCCAAGGGCTTGGAATATAATGTGGAACCCCCTCAGCTCTTTCCTGCTCTGCTTCATTTCAGACTGGAAGTACAGCTCAGGCTACATTACCGCCGACATGATCAAGGAGCACCTCCCTCCCCCTGCAAAGTACACTTTTATCCTGGTGTGTGGCCCCCCACCGATGGTCCAATCAGCTGTTCACCCCAACCTGGAGCACCTGGGTTATACCAAGGACATGATCTTCACCTACTAACACCTTCCACGTTGATAGCAAGTGTGCTGGGCTCCTATTTCTAAATGAGTTGGCTTCATCATATTAAACAGGGATGTTTTGTAAAGTGTCTCCTCATGCACCCTGAGACACACCCACCAGTACTCCTCTCTGGGCTGTGAGCCTAGGAAGAAGGGCTTAAGGGGCTGGAGACTTAGTGATTCCTAAGGCTCCTAGCTTAGAAGCAAAAAGAGCTCCACTGTAGTATGTTCCTCCGCCTTAACTAAATAAACTAAGTTCTCAGTAACTAGTCCATGAAACATGGCTCTGTGGGGGACCTGCTGGGTAGGCTGGAGGCCCTGCCTTCTTCCCTGCTTGAGAGTTTGCTTCTTTGTGTCCATGGGGGGTGGGGTGGGGGAGTGTGGTCATATCTGGAAATGGGGCCAATGTTAGAATTCTCCAGGATCCACGAAGGGTCACACCAACTCCTTCGAACGTCTCTTGAACCTCTCTGTCTAGAGCACTGGCTTTAATGGTCAGATCTACAAGCAACTCAGGCACCCTCCATGTACAATCTTTCTTCCCATTTCCTTTGAAACACAGCAGTAAATCCACAGGGTAGGTGGGCTCTGGGAAATCCTCCCAGCAGATGGAAGCCTAGAGCACATTTTCTAAGCATCCTCAGTACTAGCTGTGTCCTGGCACTGGCTCAGGGTAGGGCTGGTTACATGCAGAACTTCTGACATTGCACTCAGGTTCCAGAAGCTCTGCTTTAAATCCTGTCCATCAGGGACCACCGTCACCACCTTCTGACCAGGCCAGCATGGCACACTGCTGTCCTGCTACCCGAGTGGGAAGCACATCATCTAGAACTCACCAAACACTCCTAACAAGCCAGAATTCCTGTGGGGAATTTTGTTTTCTGAGTTACAAATGAGCAAATGGACTCAGAGAACAAGTATTCTCAGGTCATTCAGCCAGTAGGGAGCTGGGCTGGCTTTAAACCTGGATCTGTTTAATCCCAAGTTGTTTCACCTCGTACCCCCACCCGCTTTAACCAAAACCTGATATAATAGCAGCAGTGTTAAAAGTTGGTACTACTGGATCCTTACTCAGCATGTACAAGGAGGAGGGGGAGGGGAAGAAAGGGGCAGAGGAGAAGGGAAGAGAGGAATGTGGGTCTAGGGAGCAATCTATGAGTTGCCCACCGGTGGTCAAACCCAGGGATGGTTTCAAGGCCTTCATTTCTTCACCTGTTTGGCACATCCTCAGCAAATCCCTTACCCAGGGAAAGACAGCTGAGCACTTTGTGATAAGATACTACCCTCAGACTTGGGTCATAAGCACAGATCTGACCGTGTTGGTATGCTTGTCACCCGCTTTACACCTTCCCCTGCCTTCCCTCTCATCTTCACCCTTACCACACTGTCTCCAGGATGTATGCCAGGGTCCTGACTTGCAGGGTCTCTCTTTCTTGGACTCCTACTGACCTCATCAAAATTTTCAATCCCTGGGCTTCCCATATTGACTTCATTCTCAGCCTAGTGGTTCTCCACTGGGAACATTATTGCCAAGATCTAGTGACATTTTGGTGGTCACAACTAGAGGAGAGGTGCTACTGATGTGAGGAGGGCAGCAACAAAGGATGTTGGTGAGCAGGAGGCTGATCAAGAAGGAAAGCACTTGGAGGCCCAGGAGAGGGGCTTACTGATAATTGTACAGTATACCACCCACACTAGATCTTCAGCAGGGCAGATAAATAGTAGGACAAGAGTTACTTCATTGCAGGTTGTGAAGCACAATTTAGGGCAGAGACCACAGTGATGTGGGACAGAAATGACCTGCAACTGGAATGGAATTGAGGGGCTGCTTCCTGAGACACCTGAGGTGTCTATGCTGGGCTTGAGATACAGGATTTGGACCCATGAAAGGGAATGGGAGATAAATGGAGTTCACAAGGAAAGGATGTCTGGATCAAGGCCTGAAGGAAATAGACTTAAGGATGCAAAAAGGCCCAGGATGCTGAACACTGAGAATTTGGTGACTGAACAGTTTTGAGCAGAGTACCCACAAGGATGACAAGATTAGAAGAGTTGCTTTGGAAACATCTCCCTGGGAGTAGGGTGGAAAATATCTGGACGGGACCAGCTGGTAAGATGAAGGGCCAAATAGACCAGCTGCAAGAATCAGGGGGAGACAGATGAGGCTGGAACTAGAGCAACCAGGGAGTTGCAGGGAAGAAGGGTGGCTGGAGCACGGGTAGGTCAGCGGTGCCTGGCTGTGAGACGGGAGACACTCAAGAAGAAACAGGTTTGTCTGGGCGAATGGTGACTTTCTAAAGGAGAGAATGAGTTTGTGGTGCCAAGGGCACTGTGTAATCGGACATTGCACTTGAGGATGTTAAGGAAAGGAGTCAGAGATGTATCTGCTGCATGTCAAGTAGGGTGTCTTAGCTATCCCCTACTCAAATGCTGATCCAGGTGGATGGAGGACAGTTCGGACAGCAGGGAGAGGCCCCAGTATCCTTGCTTGGCTCTCAATCTAAATGCTCTCATTGGCCAGATTCCCTTGGATGGAAACACATGCTTCTGTGAAGCAGCTCTCAGAGCTCCTGGGTATAATCTTGTCCAACCTAGACTGCTCATCAGAACTCCCCATACCCAGCAGTGGTTTTATGAACTAACAGTTCTTTCCCTTTGCCTCCCCTGTCAGTTTCTAGGGACAGCATGGGCCATTCACTACTCTGCATGGATACCTCATTCCCCTATACACAACAGTGATCCATAGTCTATGTATAAAAGTATAAAAGGTAGAAAGGCTGTAGTAAGAGCAAGTCTGGTTCAAAACACTGTGGTGTGTCTAGGTCCACCTCCAAGACACCTGTCCCATGGCTCTGCTTTGCTCTTGTTCGCACCCAGATGCCCTGCTAGCCCCATCTGGGCTCTGTCGATGGCTGGGTGCCAGCTCCTCATTGAGGAAGACTCAGGGCCCCACACGTGACCCTCCGGGCTCTCAGCTTTGAAGAATGTCATCTCCAGTCATCAGAGTTGGGGGAAGCCAGGCGAGAGTCATTCAGCAGCTGGTCCTGGCTCAGCAGAGTCTGAAAGGACACAGCCAAAGGGGGCAGTTTAACAAGAGTTGTGGCTGAAGGCTGCCCTGCGGTCAAGATATGGGAAGCAGAGGAGAGTAACGTACGGCTGTGTCTGACACCAGTACCTTATGAGTATTCCAGAGACACTGGGCATTGGTTCGGAATACAGTAAAGGGAAAGGTAATGGCTGAGGGTGTAGCTCAGTGGTAGAGAAGTTGCCCAGGATGTGCACGGCTCTGGGCTAGACCCCCAGCATGACAAGAAAGAAAAAAAAGACCTAAAAATACCCTGCTCATCTTAGAGATAAACTTGCTCTTTCAAGTCCACCAGAGGCCTGCTAGAAATCACAGGGCAAGGTTGTATAGCCGTTGCAGTATATGGGCCGAGAAAAGCAAAACAAACGAAAGTAACAGTTTCATTAAAGTGAATCCTAGGAGCTACTCCTGCCCTTAGCCTTCTAAATATGTCTCAAGTGGAGATCATCAAGCAAAGCACAATCCCAGGGGGCTCAGCACTGACATTACGGCTACCAGGCTCAGGGGCGGATCATGTGGGGACAGAGGGGCCCTGGGACGAATGGAGCTTCAAAGACAAATCCATTCTGTGGCTGGCCTCCTGCCTTTCTAGTGTGCCGATGAGCCTCACAAGTGGGATATTTATTTTCCCTGCTTCATAGGCAACAAACCAAGGATCACTTAAGGTCTCAAAACTAGCAACAAGTGAAACTGGGATAGGAATTGGGCCTGTCTCCCTCCAAAGCTGCTCCTCTTCCCCCAAGGCCACGCTGCCTCTTCCCGTGATCTAGTTTGTTCTCCTGGGCATGGCAAGATCCTCTAGCTTCCTGTCATAGCAAGGGTGTTAGAGGAGTGGTGAGAACACGTGTGTCACATGTGTCACCTAGTGAGAGTTGATGCAGAGGTAAGGTAAGGGCTGGGCTTTGGGATGCATAAACAGGTAACCCAGAGCTACTGAGAATTCTCACCAGCTCCGAGGAAGAGGACTCAAGACAGCATGCCTTAGTTGGATCCAACTCCAGGCCTATGAGCATTCCAGAGGTCCAGCCAATGGAAGAGACTCTTGGGCTGCTGTCTGCCTCAGGGCTGGCTCAGTTTCTAACTCCTGGTTAAGCATCCTCCTTTATGCCCCGCCCCTCTCTGGCCTGAATACCACCATGCCAAGTTCAATGGGCTTCCCCAACACTTGCCCTACTGCGAGGAGAGGAGCAGGGTCCTACCGTAAGGCGGTGAATGTCTTGGGAGAGGAGCCCTATCTGCGCCACGGTGCCTTCCGAAGGTGCCATCTGTAAAATGGGCAGCAGCCTGGTCAGCACACCTGTTTACAGCATGCGACTTGCAGGGACAGTATGCAAACCCCGTTCCACATGGGCATAGCTACTTTAGGCCATGCTTCCCTGGCAGAAGTGACATGGAGTAGCCCAGCCTCTGAGGAGTGACAGGTGGGGGAGCTCATGCTGCTTCTGCTCCTGAGGAAAGGTGTCCAGCCTCCTGCAGAGCATGCACACTCTCTCCCAAGCATCCATTGGTATCAGCACTCAGGGTTCAGAGACGCAGGGCACAGGCAGGGCCTGGCAGAAGCGGGCCTCTGCACAAGTTCAGTTTCCAAGCCATTTCCAGGGACAGACAGCAGTGGAGATGAAGGTCTCCAGGATGCTGAGTGGAATTACCATTTCCAGGCACCAACAGGAACCTAGGCACCACAGTCCCAGTGCAGGAGAGCATCTTCAGGAAGCTGTTGCCTTTCTGCTCAAGAGCCTCCCTTCCCTGCCCTCCTCCTCAGGTTCTGCTGGCCTGCTCCTTCTTCCCTCAGGGTAATGAGGCATTGTGGACTTGGAAGGTGGGAAAACCGAGGTCCACAAAGCTGCACAGAAAATTAGTGGCAAAACCATCCCATGCAGCGTGTGAAAACAGGCGCATGCAGACTCGCTGAGTAGAACATGATAAGAAACAAGGAGCAAAGCCTGGTTTGATCCACTCTGCAACAGCGGTGGCCAGGTGTTCACACCTGTCATTCACTGGCACCAGGACCACAGGACAGTGTTACCAGATGAAAAGCTTGTGTGCACAGTCTCATCAGCTGGACTTCAGGGGAGGCGATGGCTTTGGAGAACAAGCCATGTCTGAGGTTGCCCATCATATAAGAAATAAATCTTACTATCGCCTCCGTTTGGGGTGGACTCAGTG